TTTCTTTAACCTTTTCAAATTCCTTCCCTTCGAATTAATTCTATTTTTGCATTTAAATTATCAATAATGATTTATATGAATTCTGTATATTTTGTGTGAATCTTGTGAAGCATATTCTAAAGTGAATTCTTAATTATCAAATAATAAAAAAATTATTAGCTCTTTGATTAATTATAATTGGCAAAATTAGGTAATTAATTATTTTTTATTTTATTTTCGAATCGGAATAACACTCGACCATTAAAAAATACTATCGCCACTGGGTGCTCAAATTTTATATTTACATAAGCCTTCTATACCTAATATGTAGCAGTCTTACCCATATATATAGGATACATTTTCTGTTATATTTCACTCGTGTTTGCACACACTTCACACACACACACGATATATATATATATATATATATATATATATATATTTCAAAAGCTAAATTATAGAAATAAAGAGACGTATGCATATGTATGCAGTTAAATCGATATACGTATATTTGTTCGCGTGTGTTCATATTTAAGCGTACTTACGGTTAATTATATATATATATATATATACATATAGAGAGAGCGTAGCTGGCAGATCTAATTCGATCGTGTAAATGATAGTCACTATGCATTGTTCATCCTTTTGTTCACATTCTCTGCCATATATATATATATATATATATATATATATATAAGACTAAGGGAGAGATGGTAACCACTTGATAGAAACATAAGTTAAACTGGCAGTCACATTGCATTACTTATTTCTTTGTCCACACTGTCCATACGTACCTATCTCTCTCTCTCTCATATATATATATATATATATATATATATATATATTTTTTGTTACAAATGCAAAATATGACGCAGTTGGTGGTGAAGACATTGCAAAAAGTAAATAATACTCCATAATTTACTTGAGAAAAAAAAAAAAAAACTTGCTTTGACACAGTTAAATGTTTGGGTTAATAAATAACTCAGATTTCTTTGGGGATTTGTAATTACTAATAATTTATACTAATTTTTATATCAGTTATATAAACCTATGTTTCAACTCGGCTCGGTGCCCTTGGGGTCAGTTCTGTGTGTTATGTCTCCTTGGATGTTTATCACCACCGTAAATAGGATGATCTGCGCTCCATTGTGTCGAGTAACTTAGTTTTCCTCTTCTCCACCTTGTCCTGATGAAATACAAAACCAAAGAAAGTGGCATCATACCAAATAGCAATCTTCAGTGATAACCTTAGTCAACACTGAAGATCTCTATGTGTTATAATGCTTACATCATATCGTGACGGCCCGGGTTCGATTTTCAGAGTCGGTAGAGGATGCGTACTGCTACTGAGTCCCAAAACCCAAGTTGAAAGAAAAAATACACACACACTCATAGCATAGAATGATTTAACGCAACGACTTTAAATATACGTTAAACATTTTCATTGTGAATCAGCATTGTATTTACACAGGACCTAAGGATGAAAGCTGTCCACCTCTCGCTTTGTCCAAGAACTAACACGTCCTCTGGGTAGGAGTTCAAACCAGGGTTACCCGAGATGTGAGCTGTCTTTCATTAGGCCTATTGTTCTACTCTGGCAGTGAGAAACTAATTAACTCATATTCTATGCATCGAATAAAAACTAATAAAAAGCCATTTCCCGAATAGACAGCAGATGGATACGACATGGACTTGGATGACCATTACGACTAAAAACTGGCCATCTTACTCACCAGATGACCCATATTTGGGGAGGTAGAGAGACAGAATTGCTGCTGGAAGAAGATCGAAATCGGAACATGGCCAGCAATTATGAATCAGTGTGATCGATAAAAGAGAAATCGATCTGATCCATGTCTTACAACATGTCCACTTTAAATGAAAAGTTTCCAATACTTTTTTTTACGTCAGTCAGTTTTTACAAAACATCCCGATTCAAACATGACGATACAAGGCGTGCGCATGCGCGCACACACACACACGCACGCACGCACACACAGATGTGCGAGCACGCACAAAACCATTCACGCTTAGGCCTAATAATAAAAATACATTTTACGGAAGGAATATTAACTTTTTAGCCTAATTCTATACGATATCTTTAGTTGCTAAAATTAATCACACGTATCTAAGGTTTTGCATAGATAATTTAGGACAAAAAATTCTGCGATCCATCGTATATGTTTTAAGCTAGAAAGGGTTACCGAATGAGGCATAACCAAAACAGTGGTTGGAAATGAAACGGTAATAATCTTTATGACCTCAATAAAATACAATGCTTGCCAGCGGCGTAAAGTAGGTAAATTTCGACGACAATTTATCCATCGCACTCTGAATATCTGTTAAAATGTGATGTCAGTGTTATTGTCAATTTTGCGCCATTTAGCCGACAATTTATCCATCTACAAAAGTAGAGCAATAATTCTTTATTATAGGTTATTTAATCTGAACATACATATTGCCGTTGCATAAATGTATTAATGTTTCGATGCACATCATAACATCTCATCAGGCTTTGGTAAAATGATGGTATAACAATTTTTAATATTACTTAAGTAATATTAAGTAAGTAATATTAAAGGTTTTATCACCTATAATAAAGAAATATGTGTGTGTGCGCGCGCGCATGTATATATATATATATATATACCATCTTTAGTGTCTTCCAGACAAACCTACCTAGACTTCACCCTAAACGGATCGTCAGGGAAATCCGTTTAGGTGAAAACCTAGGTAGGTTTGTCTGGCTCACTAGGTGTATTCAAAAATTGCTCTACGGCTGTATTGAGCTCTTTTGTTAGTTGTTGTTACTCGTATCGGGGTTTTTCTTTGGGCTTCAGACCTGCATCTGTGCGATTTTTTTTGTCGGCAGAAGTCCATGTTTGTAGCTCTTTCTTTTTTAAAACCTTTTTCCCTCGAAAAGTTGATTTGATTAGCAAATCGAAAATTCGAGGGTTTTTCGAAACGAGTCTAGTTATATATATATATATATATATATATATATATATATATTCTTCTCTTTTATAAACTTTTCTCTGTTAAATTTTAACCCCCACCTTCACCTTTTAGGGCTTTCCTGTTCTTCTTTCTTTTGTTACACCCTCTCTCTATAGCTTTCATACATTTCCCTCCCACTCTTGTTTCCCACACATACACTCTCACTAAAATTTTGTTATTTATACCTCGAGTTATATTTTCCGTTTTCTTTTTGAATTTGTAGGTCTGATGATTTGGATCGTGATTACGATTCCATTGTAATAAATTAAATCATGGAATATTAGTGTTTTGAGCGTTTTATATATATATATATATATATATATATATATATATATATATATATATATATATATATATAATTTAAATCATTTAAATAAAAACAGACCACTTTAAGGTTCATTGTAATAAATTATTTCACCACAGCCCTTTTGAATTTACATTGGGCTCTCTGGGTTTTATCCTCCTTAGGTTTACCCATACGGATTACCTAGTTTTTCATAAACTATATATATATATATATATATATATATATATAATGTACAGGTAATAATAGAATGAACAGGATTTAAAAGAGGGCTCAATTCTCGTTTCTTAAAGAAGGTATTTATTTACCCCCCACCCCAAAAAAAAAAATATGTAGGAAACTCACAAAGCATATAACTTGTTTTGCATCTGGTTAACTTACCCCACCACTTCATTTTTTTTTTCTTAGGAAATGACATTGTCTCGTGTGTAAAATCTGTATCCATTAACATCCGCTGTGCTGCCATTGACTGGCAAACTACCGGTCATAAACCATTTATGGAAAATAATTTCCTAATTTTTGCTTCCTTTGCTCAGTTTAAATTTAACGTAGGTCATATTAGATTGGTTGATCTGAGTAAAAACCCACAAACCTTATAACCCACTGCTTTTATTTCGTACAATTAGATGGCATTTTGACTTTAAATGTAAATAAATCGTTCACTCGCCAGTAATTTACAATCGCCTGATGAGATGCATTGACACGCATCGAAACACGACTGCAATTGTGTAGCGATTTTGGCATCATTTCTATGTAATATCCTTATATATGTATATATATATATATATATATTTTCTCCTCATAATGGTCATGTTGGTCGAAACTAGTCCAGGAATCTAATTGAAATAATGAAACAAAAAAATATTAATATACAAATTTTAATTTCTCAATATTTTTTATTGTTCAAAACACACACACACACACATATATATATATATATATATATATATATATATATATATATATATGTATGTATGTATGGGTAATAATGCGTTGGTATAATCCAAGCGAGTCCTTTTAGCACAACATAGAATTTCAAACAAATTAAAACTGACTCACCAAAAGCGTTCAATGTTTATTTTCATTAAACGGAGAAATTTTTCTTTACAATTGGAATTAACATACCTTTAGTAAATGACAATTTTCACCTACGAATTTTAATTCTAAAATTCGAAGGATTTTTCGAACTCTTTATGCTCCCATAAATGGTTTTAAAAATCCCGCGAATTTTCAATTAAAAATTCGTAGGTGAAAGTGGTCATTTACTAAAGGTATGTTAATTCCAATTGTTAAGTGTGTATATATATATATATATATATATATATATAACAAATTTGAACTCACTAAATCAGTGATATATAGAGAGAGGGAGAGTGAACTTTCAAAATATGCAGGAGAGTAAGGTGAGTGGGTTTGAGGGAAAAGTGGGAGAGTGAGATATATATATATATAGAGAGAGAGAGAGAGAGTGCTATGTTCGAAAAGCTTCAGAAACCTCCTGACTCAATACAAGGCAGATTGCCATCGTCTTTCTTTCCTTTATTTAGTTTCGCGAGATGCTGCAAATTTCCTAAGCGCAAAACGTGCGAGATACTTAGGTGTTTACATTCACTCCGCATCCACTTGGACGTGCATGTGAAACGCTCAGTTGAATCAGCATTATTCCTTTCCCCATCAGTTGTTATCTATCTATCTAGCTAGCTAGCTCACTATTTCTCAGTGTCTACTTCTCAATGTTATCTATCTATCTATCTATCTATCTATCTATCTATCTATCTATCTATCTAACTTCTTCTTAATGTTATATATCTATCTATCTGCTTCTTAATGTTATATATCTATCTATCTGCTTCTTAATGTTATATATCTATCTATCTGCTTCTTAATGTTATATATCTATCTATCTATCTATCTACCTACTTCTCAATGTTATCTATCTACCTACTTCTCAATGTTATCTATCTATCTATCTATCTATCTATCTATCTACTTCTCAATGTTATCTATCTATCTATCTATCTATCTATCTATCTATCGTCTGTCTAGATATATATCGTTATTTTGTCCATAATTCTCTTTCTTTCTATTCTCGCTCTCTCCATTCGTAATCTTTGCTCTCTCTCTCTCTCTCTCTCTCTCTCTTCATGCTGGAATGGCCTTCACATGTCGATAATGTTACGAAATCCTTGACATAGTAAAAGTTGAACCCGAAACAACATGTATAAGTATATGCACACTCACACAGACATATATGTATACACGCAAACACACACACACACACACACATTCTCCTTAGACTTTCTTGTAAAAAGTTTTCGAGTATCTCATATATCCGAACGCTTTCGGATATTCTGTTAGCTAATGTCAAGTTTGTTTTTTTATTTTAATTTTTAACTGAATAATTGGATGGTTGAACCGCAGTATCTTGTCAGCCATCTTTAATGAAGACTATATAAATACTTACATACATACATACATACATACATACATACATACATAGGTTAGCATGTCTAACAAAACACCAAACCGCCACTGTCAGTCCGTTTATTAAGATACATCTATCTCTTTTCTCCTTTATTTGTTTTTTCCTTTCCTAATTTTGTTTGCCTGTCTTTCGTTTTCCTCTCTCTCTCTCTCTCTCTCTCTCAATCACCTAATCCTTTTCAAGAGATCCAGTCACCAATTTAAACCTGCCTCCTCAAACACAAGTGTGCATGAATTAAAAATGATGAAACATAATTTGGTCTGGAATATTTGTCACCCATTTATTTGTATAAAAATGGTCGATCTGAGGGATCAGAATCGAATTTTGATCCTAAGGAAAGAAATTATAGTTATTATGTAACTTTAAAGTTGTCTGTTATAATAATTAATACTTGCTTTGTTTTACACTGAGCTCTCTGGCTTATATTCTCCCTGGAATTATCCATACCGATTACCAAACACATCTTTAACTCTCTCTCTTTCTCTCTCCATATATATATATATATATATATATATATATATAGAGAGAGAGAGAGAGAGAGAGATAGAGAGGCACAGTGGAGTAATGGATAGAGGCTGAGTATTTGAAATCGGAGAATTCATTACATTTCCTCTACGTGCTAATAACTTTTGGGAAGGTGTGAATCGTCTTCTTCTCCACACACGCAACCAACTATGGGTAAATAGCAGGACCAGATGGCAACTGGTCTACCGCAGAAGAAAATGGCGACCTACTGCAGGAAAACAATCTGCAACGTTAGTCATGTATCGAAAGATAAATGAGCGTGCATAACACATAGGACATGACTGATATATATATATATATATAATGTGTGTCTGTTTTATATATATATATATATATATATATAACCTATATATATGTGTGTCTGTTTTATATATATATATATATATGTGTGTTGTTTTTTATATATATATATATATATATATATATATATGTGTCTGTTTTATATATATATATATGTGTCTGTTTTATATATATATATATATATATATGTCTGTTTTTATATATATATATATATATGTGTGTGTCTATTTTATATATATATATATATATATATATGTCTGTTTTATATATATATATATATATATATATATATATATAAGGTTGCTATTGTTTCTGTAATGGCATATCATTAATGAATCAATATATAATGAATAAAATCAGTTAAAGACTTTAATTAATCAATTACCTAATTAATTTCTCGAATCAATTATTTTATGGCCATTCATAATCTATGATTTAAAATCTAAGTATTATAATTATATATTTGTAGGTTTCTATACAAATAAAAATATTTAATTCTTGACTTACGTAGAATTTCAGAGCGGGAAAAATGCAAAAAACAAAACTCGAATCTTTTTTCCCCCCTTTTGTTGATTTTAAAAGGAACTTCAAACATTTAAACCGTAAAATATGAAACGTATAAAACATAAAACACGTTAAACATAATATATCTACTTTACTGCTTCCTTTTTATACATCTGCATACAACTATGAAATGTCGGTTTCTTTGGTGCATTAGATGAAAAAAATAAATACCTAAAACTTTACTTAGAAATAGATATATTTTGAATACAAAAAAAACGCTTCTAAAGTTATATAATTTACACTTCTCACTGCTCGCATCTACGACCTTATAATAACCTCTATCTTAAGTAAGTCTTGAGTCTTATAGTGAGTATATATATATATATATATATATATATAGAGAGAGAGAGAGAGAGAGAGAGAGAGAAATAAATAGATTATCGTATATATATATATATATATATAATATGCAATCATGTAGATAGATCTGGGAACAGGTGAGATAGATAGATAGACAGATATATACAGAATCACATATAGATATGTATAGCAGATCGATTATTATGTAAATAAATAAATAGGTAATCATGTAGATATATCAAAAGAGATAGATTTTCATGTATATCTTTCTCTATGTGCATATATATATATATATATATATATATATATATCTACGACCTTATAATAACTTATCTTAAGTAAGTCTTGAGTCTTATACTGAGTATATATATATATATAGAGAGAGAGAGAGAGAGAGAAAATATAGATTATCATATATATATATATATATATATATATATATGCAATCATGTAGATAGATCTGGGAACAGGTGAGATAGATAGAGTAGATAGATATGAATCACATATAGATATATATATAGCAGATCGATTATTTTGTAAATAAATAAATAGGTAATCATGTAGATATATCAAAAGAGATAGATTTTCATGTATATCTCTCTCTCTCTGTGTATATATATATATATATATATATATATATATATATAATCATGTAGATAGAATAGATAGATATAGAATCATGTAGATAGATGATGATGAACGGATATAGATCAATCGATAGATTGATTTATCTTCCACTCAGTTTTCAAAAATTGGTTTCATGCCTTTTACCATAGATACTAGTGGGCATATGAATGCTACAGATATGCATTGGTTTTGCACTCCGCTGTACCGATAACCCTTTCGCTACGCTCTCACATATAAACCTATCCGATAAATATCTACCTGTTTACCTATATCTAAATAGATATATAATCTTATAATCTGTAGATATATTGTCTAAAGTCAGTTGAGTCAGGCGAAATGTTAAATAAGTTCAAATATTCATTTTTGAGAAGATTGTGATGCGCCTTTTATAGTGAGCATGCGACACTGGCAATTCGTCATTTTGTGTACTGGTTTCGAGCCTCATAGGGAACCCCATGTATATTACATCGTTTAGGGAAATTTATAAGTAACATTATGCCGTGTTATTAATTATCAATGCATGTCCAGTGTCCCTTTTCTACTCTGAGGAATTGTCCCTTACCTGAAAACTTGTATCAGCGTCAGACATATTTAAGATTAGTAAATACCCGGCTGGGGAGAGATTTTTAACGTCTTATCGATTATCAGTTGGTGTCTCGTATTTGTGGAATTTTATCAGATAATGTTGAACTACGTCTATGAGTGCCTAGATAGAGTAATTTTCAGCAAGTTATTATACCAACCAGTTGGTATTGTGGCGTCCTAGGAAAGATGATAAACTACATCCGCGTCCTGGGTTAGACGCTAAACTACATCCGCGTCCTGGGAAAGACGATAAACTACACCCGCGTCCTGGGTTAGACGATAAACTACACCCGCGTCCTGGGTTAGACGACAAACTACATCCGCGTTCTGGGTTAGACGATAAACTACATCTGCTTCCTGGATTAGACGATAAACTACATCCGCGTCCTGGGTTAGACGACAAACTACATCCGCGTCCTGTGTAAGACGACAAACTACACCCGCGTCCTGGGTAAGGCGACAAACTACATCCGCGTCCTGGGTTAGACGACAAACTACATCCGCGTCCTGGGTTAGACGACAAACTACATCCGCGTCCTGGGTTAGACGACAAACTACATCCGCGTCCTGGGTAAGACGGTAAACTACGTCCAACAGTAAGGCCTCTGATAATACGTTTTTGAAAAAAATAATGTTACCGACTGTACGTTTTTGAAAAATATTACCAGATATACGTTTTTGAAAAAATAATACTACCAGCTATATATTTTTGAGAAAAAATATTAACAGAAATAGATTTTTGACAAAACATAAATATTACCAGGAAAAAAAAAAGAAAAAATGTTGTCGGCATTACATTACCCATTGAGGTTGATATGCCGTAAAAAAAAAAACCCAAACCAAACCAGTTGGTATGTGTAGTGATTTTGAATTTTACTGAGCGTTACTTATGACCATATGCCAGTCATGTAGCTAAGTTTATTAAACATACATAATGAATCCATATTTTCGATTATAGCGAAAGAGATAATCTACGATGGGCACTTAACTGGAACTTGTGATGTGTGTTGTCTATGGCGAGTAAGGCAGGTGTCATGGTTGCCACTTGTTTTTTGGGCTACCCGACACCACTGGAAAGCGAATTTGTTGTCTAATATTAATTATTTAGACGTTAACCACTCAGATTAGATAAATTCGCTTATCGCCCGGTTCACACTCTTCTTTTGATCAGGATTAGAGGTTTATCCCTTGTTTCCAGTTTATGAATTGGATTTCCGGTACGACTTAAAATCTACTTCATTAGATTTGATTTTATTTTATTTTACATTTTCTGCTCAATAAGAGTAGATAGATTTCCTCACCGTCCGATTTACTCCCCTCCCCGGTCTCTTGAGACTTTTCATTCTCATTCATTCTCAGTAGCCCCTTGCGTCTTAGTGGCCATATCGCCTTGCTTGGGGTGAATTTACTAAAAAGGTATCCTCAGTAAATGGAAACGCTTG